ACAAATAACTTGTTTGGCAGCGCTTTACCACTCTATTTTTACCAAATACCACATGTCAAATATCACATGTGCATGGTTAAACTTAAACCAAATGAGATACTTTATTTCAATTACCACTAAAATAACACTGAAATACCACATGAATACTAAATGAGTTATTTGACTCTACGAAGACCACATTAATAATCAACCCTTCCAAACGACCTGAGGGACAGGTTAATCACCATGGTTACTAAGGGAAAATTGGGTATGAAAAAAATAAATTTTATTAATTAATTTGTTAATATATTACATTTTAGGTAGTTACAAAAATCTATTAATTATAATTCCCTCTCTTTCTCTCACTTCAATAATATCCCGTCGGATCTCTTTTCCTTATTTTTCTCAATCTTTCTGCAAAATAAAAAAACACGAAATCACTACCAATCCATTAGACAATCACTACCACTTTGAAAAACATCAATACCATTGCAGAAATAAATCTATACCTTTACACGAAAACTACCAATATAAACAATCTACCAACATAAATCTATATGATTTCACAAAAAACCAATACCATTGCAGATATAATCAATACCAATACATGCAAATTAATATTATTGCATGATAGTCAATATCAATGCACGAAAACTACCAATATAAATAATCTACTAATATAAATCTATATCATTTCACAAAAAACCAATACCATTGCAGATTTAATCAATACCGTTATTGATTAATCAATACCAATGGGACAAAAACAATACCAATGCAACAAAATCAACACCAATGCGACAAAAACAATACCATTGAGGCGAGAGGGTCGGAGATAAAAGGATGACCAGCGCGCCGATTACTTTGACGTCCTCCGCAGTCCCATATGATCCCAGATCGCTTGTACATCGGCTCCTACTCGCTGTCGAGTAGAGAGAGAGAGAGAGAGAGAGAGAGAGGAGAGTGGGGTGGAGTGGGGGGGGGGAGAGGGGGACGACGGTGGGGTAAGATTTTGGGGAGGGAGGGGAGAGGGGACGGTGGGGTGGGGAGGATGGGTTACATTAGGGTTTGGGTATATATAGAGTAATCGGGTGTGTACATTTTTCATTTTCAAAATTATTCTTAATTTAATCTTTACCGTTAATTTAAAGTTAAGGTGAAATAGAGATAATAAATGGTATAGATTTTAGTAGCCATCGTGATTACTAAAAAAACAAGTAACCATACTAACCTATTCCAACGATCTAATTATATCTCAAAAGGTTCTACCATATTCCTTCTTCCTTTTGCTATAAAAAAAAAATCCCTCTTCCTTTCACTTCCTTCATTTACTGCATGAAAACTATGTCGTTACAAGATTCCCCTGTCATTAGTGTTAGCCGTTAGCCGTTAGCCGTTAGGCAAAGAGGTGAATGAAGAAGTTGTCAAAGTGTAATTAATAATAACTTAATTGTTGTTTTAATTAGGGCTTGTCGTTCTTAGAAGCAGGGTAATTACTAAACTAATTAGTTTTGACAGCCGATAAGTCAGATTGACATTTCACTGAACACTATCTCAAACCGGTCCGCTCAATTAGTATGATATTGTCCGTTTAGAGCTAAGCCCACATGGTTTTCCTTTTGGGTGTCCTCCCCAAAAAGGCCTCGTACTTATTGAGCCAGGTGGACTCTTATATACAAGGGTCACTTCCCTTGTATTTCCGATGTGGTACTTGGATTGTCCCATAACAATCCCCCCTCAAGCCAAGGACCACGAACTTCGTGTCCTCACCCCCAGTGATTATCTTGATCTGCCAGATACCTTGTATCGATGAGCTTCTCGATCCAAGGATTTTCCCAGATGCGGAACTCTCTTTGATCCGCCAAACCCAAATGTAGATCTCTCCTGGATCTACCAAACAGACGCGGATCGCAAATCCCGAGGCTTCCGAATGAGGGTCCACCAAACTGACGTCCACCGCCCCGAGCCGAACTAGAATTTGATACCACTTGTCAAAATTGGGCCGCTCAATTAATACGAAATTGTCCGCTTTGGGCTAAGCCCGCACGGTTTTACTCTGAGTGTCCTCCCTTGGGCTAGGTGGACTCCTATATACAAGGGTCTCTTCCCTTGTATTACCGATGTGGTACTTGGATTGTCCCATAACAATCCTCCCTTCAAGATAAGGACCATGAACTTCGTGTCCTCTCCTCAACGATTATCTTGATGAATCGAGGTGGAATTTCCAAACTTATGCCTCAAATAATTTACTAATAATTATAAAATGACATAATTATCCTCAATTATTAAGTAATTTACCTTATTTATATATATATATATATATATATATATATATATATATATATATATATATATATATATGCCATTCAGCAACATTCCGTATTTTTGCGCTCAACCTTCCTCTCAATTCTTAACCTAATATACATAATCATCGTTTAACATGCATTGTGAATATTCATAGCAAATTGTTGTGGATATTCTCCTTATCAACGGTTACGAATATTTTCAATGAACACATTTTGTGAATATTCTTATTTTGCTATTAAAAAAAAAACAACGTCTGAATGATTGAAGCGAAATACAGGAATAGTCAGATTCTTCACATCAGGATTTTTCCGATTCATAATAATTGTCAATTGGAAGTGGATTGCTGGCTTGGGTAGTCGACGACGGAGAGTCGTCGGCGACCTACCTAACGCGCGCCCGGTGGCCGACAACGGCTGCGCCGCTTAAAGTTCACTTTGGACTTGGAGTTGGACTAGGACCTAGCTAGCTTCCTTCTCAAGGAACCCACACGTCCATTTGCATTGCCAAGTCAGCCGGCGAATGGGACGACTACTTTACGTGATTGACCATTTCTTTCGAACCAGTCATTTTGAAGTCAAAATTGACATCGACAGTCGAACAGGTCACATAACCTCAATAACGCGCTAGAATATGGAAGATAATGTTGAAGTATAATAATTAATAAGTAATATTGCTAGTCCACCAAGCGAAATTCATTGTCCCCAAGTCACTCTCGGAAAGCATAATATGTGGCAACCAATAGTCTAGTTAGGGCGCGGGAGACACAAATCGATCGCGGTTGAGATGCGTTATGTATTTCTTATAGTAGTAGGTCGTGCAAAGCAGTCGTAGGTGGAGAGGTTTCACGTCATGTAATTTTCGTTTGATAGTCATCTGCTTGGATTGACCATCTTCGTAATCAATTCTTTTTGCAGAGTTTATTATTTCACAATCCAAACGAATAGACGGTGTGAATTTTTGAAGCAATACTACAATTTTGAAAAATCTTATTAGCACATATAAGATTATCCTTGACGCAAGTTTCTCCCTCTATTATGTTGGAGAGGTTTCACGCCATGTAATTTTCGTTTGATAGTCATCTGCTTGGATTGACCATCTTCGTAATCAATTCTTTTTGCAGAGTTTATCATCTCACCATCCAAACAAATAGACTGTGTGAATTTTTGAAGCAAAACTACAATTTTGAAAGATCTTATATATTAGCACATATATGTTATTTGCTATATGCATGCCTAAAAATATTATATCTAAAACTATTCTAACCCTAAACTGCCAAAATCTAAATTGGATTAGTATTATTCAAATGTGTATTTTGTAGGCTCTATAAGTATTTCAGATACATTTTTGGATAGTATTTCACTTCTGTTATAAGTTCGTTTTTCTCTTCTCTTCTGTTATGTTTCTATGTATTTCTTCAACCATTAATGGCTAATTTGTTGTGTTGTCTAGGTTTTTAGAATCTATAGTGTTCCGTGATCGCATACAATGATTTGATAATCTATTTATATCGAGTTTGGTATTCTATTTCATTATTATGATATTGTTTATATTCAGTTTTAGCCTAAGGAAGAAACTCGTGGTTTAGAAATTCGTGGTTAATCATCGTGCATCTCATAATTCCAAATTAAATTTTGCGCGCTTACATATACCTGCAAAATTTCACTTTGCTTTTGGAGCAACCAAATTCAAAATTCGAATTTGCGCTCCTCTCTCATTTCGTGTTTTAAGGAATAATGTTCTTTAAGAAACTTTTTAAGTACAACGATAGAGATAGACATACACACAGCTATAGACAGGCAAAACTTACTGACATAGCAGCGTAAGAAAAAGGAAAATGAATAATAAATAAAAATTCAGATTCATTTTCCTTTTTTCCCTGGACTAATAAGCTAATATAGTTACGATTTGTTAATAAAATTATAATAAATCATATATATCTGTTAGAAATCTTTAAAAAACACTCTTTTTCTTCTTCGAGGAATGACAATAGAAAACAAGTTTGACAAGACTTAAAGAGAAACTAAAGCAACCCATACCCCCTCACACCCAAAAACCCGAGGCCTACAATAACTAGGCTCCAAAGTTGAAAGATGTTATCTCTAAGAAAGACTAAGGAAGACGATAAAAGTCTTTACGCACCACCCTGTGGACAACCCAATTAGCTACAAGGGGAACCGTCCTGAAATCTATATCAGAGGGAATGGAGGCTAGCTGGAGACAATCACGCAGAATGTGACCACCCAACACGTCATCTGAGACGCCATTCTAAAGCTGTTGGATGACAGTTTTTGGCTTTGATCATTACCCCTGAGAGCTGACAATCCACCGCAAGAAAAATGGTATCATGAGCTGCAAAGTTCGACTAAGGTTGAATATTGGTCCCGATTTGGGAAAGCAACCTTACGTATTTTAAATGACCAATCTTGTCTCGGTCTCTGAACTAGTGTTTGTAAAACCATGTCATATCGACTGTCCGATCAGAAAAATCTCTTATCAAAATTCAAAACGGTTGAACCACGATTAAACTATAATTTCAGCACACAATACCCATAACACTAACTTTTTTTTGCACAAACCTCCGATTCGGTTTCACAATATCGATCCTCTAAAACACGGAACAATCTCATGCATAAATCCAACGTGAAATTAAACAATGAAAGAGAGATTACGTTTTATTCTTTGAACTCCATCCAATTAGTAAAGGGGTCATCCTACATTGTTTATGTAATTTAATACTCATAATAATTCTCGTTCTACATAACAATGACTATTTTCCGCATAACCCAAATTCCCCCCCTACGCAACATCAATCCCTCCATTTAGCAACCGAGCGACGGCGGCGGCCGCCGCCCCAGCTGCCGCCGCGACTATCCCCCGCCGCCTCAGATTTATTCGACAGAAGCAACAGAGTCGAAGACGCCTCCATCTCCACCGCCCGCCCGTCCAGCTGTTCCCGGAGATCCACCAGCCTCCTCCTCATCTCCACCAGCTCCTCCATCCCCATCTCCTCCACAGATATTGAGATCAAAGAATTCGAACCGCCTTCCGCCGCCGCCGATGCCTTTGCTCTCGCCACCGCCTTCTCCAGCGCCTCGCCTCTCTTCTTCTCCAGCTGGATCCGCCTCTGGATCCCGTTCAACTCCTCCACCAGCCTCTCGCTCCGGCCGGTGGCGGAGCCCGAGGGTTCTGATTTTGTCACAGGAGACACGTAAGTTTTTGGATTCTCATTTCTTATTATTTAATTGTCGTAAAATTAATTTATGCTGAAATCATCCTCGGAAAAAAAAAGGACACACCTAATTTCAATTCCTGATTTCGTCTGCGGCGGCCGCCAGAATCTCTCGGTAGCCGCGGCCTCTGCTGGCCGTCGTGGTGTTCGTCGCCCCGATTTAGGAATCGGCCGACGACGGGCTCTACGCCGGGGTTGCCGAAGGAGAAGGGCTTGCCGCCGGGGGAGAAGACGATGATGGCAATCTGGACGGCGCAGAGGGTGGCGAGCTCGTTGGCTTTCTTGAAGAGTCCGGTCCGGCGCTTCGAGAAGGTGACTTGCCTGCAGCTTCGGTCTGTCACCATCTTCATTTCTATCTTTCGCCTCCCCATTTCTTGCTCTGTTTTCTCTCTCTCTCTCTCTCTCTCGGTTTCCTGTTTGGGAGGGAGAGTAGGTGAAGACTGAAAAGGGTATTAGAGTGAGTGACTGAGAATGGATTTGAGTGAGAATTTATAGTAGTAGGGAAATGGGAGTGAGGGAGTGATTAAGGGTTGTTTGGATAGATTAATTGTTGAGTATGGTATTTTTCGAGTCGAATAATTCCTTTTTTTTATAAGAATTATTGTCGAATAATTTATTGATTGTATACGTGGCATTTCAATGTTATTTTAATTGTAATTTGGCATGTGATATTTAAAAACTCTCATTTGTCTGAATTATTCACATGTAATATTAGACAATAACAGGGAGATAGAACGAGTTATTTGCAAATAATACGAGCATAAATTATTTACTTATAAATAACTCACAATCTAAATAACTCATTTTCACAAAATATTGTCAAACGAATTATTTTGTCACAAATAACTCAGAACAAAACAACAAACAACTCACCTAAAAAGCTCATCCAAACAAGCCTATAGAGGTTTCCAGTTTTGGAATGGGGCTGCCAAATGAATTGTGGAAAAAGAATTTAAGGTTTGTGGGTTCTCGGAATTTAATTGGGTGTTCATTGAATTGAGATATGGGGATAAAATAAATGCAGAGTTGGCTGTATGCTGCACTTTTTTCGTCTTCTCTTTTTCTTATTAGTTATTACTTTCTTTCCGTTCAGGGAAGGATAAATATGCATTCACTTTAACCTTTGAAAATAAAATGCATACACCTGATAAATACCATATCGACAAAGGACGAGAAAAATTTAGAATCATGGAATAATTTGATTTTAATTGACAAGATGTATTTGGGCTGAAATGCATTAATTCTTGTAAGAATACTGAAATTAAAGTATTTTTTTTTTTGACAACAAAATTAAAGTATGCTTATAGTGGAAGAGTTCGTTTATGGTGCCAAATGAGACACCCTTTGAGAGCTGTCAAAGTTCACTTACATCCACGGAGTGCCGGAATGAGAAAGTTGTAAAATTCAATAAAATAAATTTAATCGCTATTTATAGAGGAACTATATCTTTGGAATAAAATAAATACATAGAATCAAACCCTCCTTTCATATGTGTGTTTCTCTTTTTCTACGAGATTAAATTATTATTATCTTTTTGGATTTTGCTATGATGACTTGTAAAACCATCTCCATCCCAAAATGTGTTTAGCAACACCACCAATTTTAGCAATTATCTCATTCAACAATTTTCAACCATCTTCATCCTAGTAATCCTTTAGCAATTTCAATTGATGGGTCCTACAACATATCCATATCACTTATTATGTTTTATTCTAAATACTTTTTGCATAGTTAATAATAGGCTAATGTCAATTTTTTATCCAAACCTTTTTTAGATTCTTTTATATTATTCAAACATATTAAAATGCTATTAATTAGCCAAATCTTTCGCAATGCATCAAAATATTAGCCATTTTTATGTTATCGTTAATATTCTTGTAACTCTTTTCTTAGTTAAAATACTTTTTTTTTAATGTTGACCTTCATATGTCTCTTTCAAGTCAGTATCATGTTGCCAAGTCAATATTACTAACAAATTGCTAACTGAAAGTTTGCATTTGGCTAATTCTTAGTATTTCGATAGGTTTGGCTAATAAAAAAGAATCCAAAAAAGGTTTGGATATAAAATAGACATTACCCTTAATAATAATATATATATATGGTAATGATTGGTGTACTCCAAGAGTATACCATACTCCATGTGATATGACGTATACCATACTCCATGTCCTTAACAATCTTACGTAAAATTGGAGTTTAGTATATTGCATTATGAAAAATAAAAAAATATCTAAATATGATATAATTAATCCTTAATGGAAACAAGTATTTCGGATTTCGAATGATTGAAATATACTATATTATTTATAACTAAAAAAGTGTATCATAATTACTTCTCTAATTAATTAATTAATTATATAAAAAATGTTTTTAATCAACAACTTAAATACCATAATTTGAAAAAATACAATTTGTGATATGTAAAGATGATGAAGAAAAAAATGTGTGGTTGGGTCCAGGGTGTTGTCCATGATCTTTTTTATCAATCAATATGATTATCTCTTATTAAAAAAAAGATGAAGAAAAGAAATAAAAAAAGAAAAGAACTGGAAGGTGGCAGGTGGTAAGAGTGGGCAACCGGTTCGGTAAACCCGAGCCAAACCGAAACTGAATTAAACTGAACCGAAATAGAATTAATGCTATTCGGTTCGAACTTCGGAAGGAAAATATTGATAGTTCGGAAACCAGGGTTCTTTCAACCGAACCGAATTTCCGAATTTTCGACCGAAAAACCGAAATACTATAATTGCAAGCTCCAAATGGTGGATTTTTATGTTTGTAGTTGTTTTTAGACTTATATATTTGAAATGTTTTATGACTTATGTGTTGAAAAGTTTGATTTTATCATTGATGATGCATATAATTACACATTTATTGTTTATATTAGGGGTGAAAAATAATTTTAAAGTGAAAAGATACAAGTAGCTTCACAAATTTGGTTTTGTGTGAAAAATCAAACCGAATTATAATTCGGGTTAAACCGACCGAACCGAATTATAATTCTGTTCCAATTTGGTTTAAGGTTTGAGAGAATTCGGGGACCCGATATTCATAATTTTGGTTCGGTCGACACCGAACCGACCGAATGCCCACCCCCTACCAGGTGGGTGTCATATGCTTAGGTGGCTTTGTTAAAGAACTTGCTAATTTAGTAAGATTGCTAACTTAGCAATGGCTCATGTACCCCTAGCAATTGCTAGTGGATTGCCACATCACCCTCCACCTCATTTGCTAGTAAGAGATTTAAAATGAGTATAAAGGCTGCAAGCATAGATGACAAGTTTCTCGAGTGATTATTCTCCCCTAGATTTGAAAAATGTTCCGCATATTTATTTATTTATTATATTTGACTTAATATATACTTTCATATTTCCTTCAAATTCTAAGTTTTCTTGTTTCTATCCTATAGTTGTCTTGTGATGGATCAATTTTGTTGCTATTGTTGTTCTGAAGATGCTGAAAAAATAGAGTATATTTGTTATACAATTGTGTCATCTTCAATGTCCATAAATCTAATACCATCGGTTTCGTTGGTTTTTATTCTAGAAGAGTTAAAAAGAGGGTGTTTTTTTTTGTCTTGGCATATAATCTGCGTAGGGATTTGGTTGCCCACAGGTGATAGGATGTTGCGTTACTACACACACACAAAAAATATTGTTGGTCTCCTATTGTCCATTATTTTCCTAATGTATGTATAAGGTAACTGTGTCATTTGGTCAACCGTTCGTCGAAAGCGGAGATCGTCGGTGAAAGAGGTACGTAAACCATTTCAAAGGTCGACTCATTGCCATAAACGGTAGACCGGTTGCCTCAAGTAGTAGACCGCTTGGTGGAAAGTGTTTGACCACTTGCTGGAAGAGGTCGACCACTTAAAGGAAATTGTGTCATCAGGTCGACCCATTTCAGGAAGCGGTAGACCAGTTGACTCAAGGGGTAGACCACTTGGTAGAAGAGGTCGCCCCTTTTCTTGGAAATTGGTCGACCACTTGAAGGTAAGTGTGTCATCAGGTCGACCCATTTTCGGAAGTGGTAGACCGGTTGACTCAAGTGGTAGATCACTTGGTGGAAGAGGTCGACCGTTTTCTCCAAATTATAGTGACTTGCAAATCACCATAGGCATACCTATATTTTAAAGTTTTAACGAGTCATATCTCTTACATTTAAATATTTTTCATAAATAAAAATTTATTATTATTTACTAGATTATATAAATTTTGATATACTTTTGACAAAAAAACATGTTCCTATTTTGTACATAAGTTTTATGTACAAAATTTTTGTATAGAAAATTTATGTATAAATAATAATTGTTAGAGAAATAAAGAAAGAACATCTATGAAAAAAGAATAAAGACCAAAGGTAAGATAGCATGACGATAAAACTTCCAAAACAGTGAAGGACTGGGAGTTGCAGATCCCAAGTTCGATTCAAGCGAGGCCCTTTGATGTTCTCAGAGGTATGAGGCTGCTGGCGGCAAAGTCCCTTTGACGTTGAATTGATTGCAGGTGGGCCCCATGTTTAATAGACACTGCTTCGTTGTCACAAAGTGGCACGTGGGGCTGGGGTTCATAGATAAAAAAAATGAAAAAACAATCAAGAATGGAAACGGGAGATGTTCATCAACAAGCTGATGCAACTCCCTTTTCGAGGAAGCCCAACCCCTTATGAGTGATGGCATCGCCGCAACTCTCTTCCTTCCTCGTTCTCATCCTCTGAGCCAACTTCGCTTTCGTTTATTCCACCCACATGTTCTTCTTCTCCCAGCTCGGCTGCTCTAATTCCGTAGTTGAATCCTCCTCCACCGATGTCAACATCTCCACCAGCTCGACAAGTGATCGCATTGTCGTTTAAGTTGATCACTAGGAAGTAGGAAGTTTCTCGTTCCTATTGGAAATAAGGTGAAGGACAGAGTGGCGATTTCCAAATCTTCTCATCATCGCTCCTAGAGTAAATGTGGGGCAATTGGGTCATTTCCTAGCCCCTTTAACGACCACTTAATAGATAATTAGATGGAAGGTTAAACTAGTTACGTTTTAATATTAGAAATGTATTTTTGTGCAAAAATTTATTAGTGAAGTACGTTTATTAATTTGCCATAATAGAGGGATACAAAATACTATAAAACCAATAATAAATCTAAGATAAATTCCAAATGTCATTTGGTCAAAACCTCATTTTTCAAATTCAATTACCAAACCACCATCAACTCAATGGAAAAATAAATATTTCAAAAAATTGGCCTTTCGAATTAGATTTTCTTGAACTTATTGAGAAAGGGAAATATATTGGTCTCTCTCGGTCTTGGTCATCGCATAATAAATCAACTAGCAATCTTTCGAAAAGTTTAGGAAAATAGCTTTCCAAAAAAATCGTCTGAAATTTGTGATGGTACCCCTTTATAATATGTCAAAAATGGTCCCAAAAAAATCCGCCCAAATCGGTGCTTACAAGCCTTAA